CGATGAAAATTTGTTTAGTAAATATCAATATTTTGTACAGATTTATGAATATGAAAAGCATAATATCCATAGACGTTTGATGGGATAATTATTTCATTTTTTCTTCATTATTTTTTTAATATTTGATGGTATTGATTGTTTAGTTTCTAGTGTCAAAGAGATTTCGTTTTACTAAGATATTTTCAAAGTCGAATTCGAACAATAAATCTCGAAACAGATCGTTTAGTTCAAGAAGAATTGCTTACGCGAAGGTTTTGGCTGAATGCTTTTTTTCTATTATTTTGAGCCGAACCGATTGGTGATTTACGCACAGATGTGCCCAATATCTCTGTCAAATTGACTTAACTCTTCATAGCTTGATATTATTTTTCAAGAAGAAAATAACTTTCTCTCTCTCACAGATATAGTTTTTTACTGACCCGATGGAAATCGTGTTCCACTAATAACATTCATACTCGTAGTGTCGACATCAGGCAATATATTTCCATTTTGGTTCCACATACCAGCAAATAATTCACAATCAGAAGTTGATCGATGAAAAGTGGCTGCTGTGCATTGACTTTGACCTAAACAGGCTATTTGACAATACTTAATGTTTGATGTAATAACATTAAGGAATGGTAAACAAGTTGTATTCGCACATTGAAATTTTGAATCAGATATTAAAGACATTTTCATTGATCGTATATCTTCTCCAACTGTTTGTGTGATAATCATAAATAAAAGCCATAGAGAAACTCTTCGTGAAGCCATCACCCACCAGATTCTAAGTTGATCAAATGAATTCAATTTATAATAGAACACAAAGTATTTATAGAGCAATAGATTCTTTTTTTCCGTCTCTTTTGAGTGGGTAGTGCATCGTTTTTTCCCAGAATTTATTTCTTCAATCTAGTGGAAAAACAGTCCTGACATCTTTTTTCCAGAACTCACTTTATTAGTCTAACGGAGAAACAGTCCCGATGTCATTTTTCTAGAATTCAGTTCATCAATTTAATCAAACAAAGTAGGCATGACTTTTTTATTTAAAAAAGTAATTTATCAATTCGGATAGATGATTTTCCTGCGTGTTTAAATGTTATTTGAGAACAAGTATATTTATCAATAGCGCTTTTGAGTTATATGAAAAATGTAAAGGACGATTGATCTAACAAAAGTGAAATTAAAAAGAAAATATAATCAACATCTAGTTGGAGATGAAATTTTCTGTAAAAATCAAAATAATTTAATTGAAAATTATTATTTATACAAGTAACGCTCCTCCGAGGACTCGCTTAGCTGTTTCTCGTAAAAATGCATTTTCTGTATATTTACCGGAAAACCAATGGAAACCGTAAAAAATCAGTTTTCGATGTATTTCTGACCTTCCACCCCTCTTCACCCCCGTCCCTCCACACGGTCACCCAATAGTCCTCAGATTCGAACTCCCCGTATCGAAAAACTTCGAGAAATATCTTTTTCTGAAAATCGATTTTTAATGTTTTTTTGACCTTTCACCCACACCCACCCACCCCTCACCATGGTCACCCAACAGACCACATATTCGAACTCCCCGCATCGAAAAACCTCTAGAAATATCTTTTTCAGAAATTTGATTTTCGATGTTTTTTTGACCCTGCGGACAGACAACCAGACAATTTATGTTTGCAAGACTCTTCTCTACGAGAAAGAGAATATTCAAATCTGAATAATTCAAATGTATCTCATAGACTATACAATATATCAATGAACTGTCACATCATTTATGTAGGATAAAGCCAATCGTTAATATCTAAACGAAGAATGAGCAGATGAGTAGTTTTATTAGACAAAAAAACTGAACACTTCTTGAAAATCAAACACACCCGATCTAAGTTTCTATAACACAAAGTATAACAACATTTCAAAAATCTCTCTTTTTGTTATTCTTTCATTTTTGATCAATTATAATCTGTAATTCTATAGATAATCATAGTTTTCTTGATCACCCTGAAAATAATCCAAAGAATTGAGATGTATATTTATGTAGTACAGTGTTAACATCCTATTTATTAGATAAATTAAAACAAACAGTATTTTTAGTATTTCAAAGTTAGTTAAATATTGATTTATCATAACAATACATTCTAATGTACTTTTTTCCTTAACCTCGAGTGAATGTTTGCCTTACTTTTCTTTTATTTATTGTATGTTACGGTGATGTTTTATGTATACAGAACAAGAAACAGAGAGCTTGTAAAATCATGTAGACTCTATTACAATCACGTAAGTGAAGTAAGCAGCCGATTCGAGTATTTCCACCGGCGATTCGTCTGTGATGCGTTCCAGAGAGTTCCAGATGCAACTCGACGAGCTCTATCGAATGATGTGCTCAGATTTCTGATAGCTCTTACTGAACCCGAAAAAGTCTAAAATACTACGATTTTTAGGTGTATTTTCATCGACCGATTAGACTATTTCCACCGGCGATTCGCTTATGATGCGTTCCAGAGGGTTCCAGAAGAGTCCCGGGTACAACTCAACGAGCTCTATCGAATGGTGTGCTCAGATTTTTCGTAGCTCAGAGTAAATTTTTTTCGATTTTGGTGGCGCCATCTGTAGGTCAAAAAATTTTACTTTTAGCTACGAAAAATCTGAGCACACCATTCGATAGAGCTCGTTGAGTTGTACCTGGAACTCTTCTGGAACCCTCTGGAACGCATCATAGGCGAATCGCCGGTGGAAATACTCGAATCGGCTGCTTACTTCACCTACGTATTACAGTCATAATAATATAAACTACGTTGTTTCACAAAAAGAGAATTGCATATGAATAAAACAATGATGACAGCAAAAAGTTAACTTTTTCTCAATAGAAAACAGAATCTCTATGATCACATTAGAAGAACGAAGTTGATGACACGTCTTTTCTTGAGGGTGTGGGTTTGATTTGATCGAAATACCTACCCACACCCACACCCACACACTCCCGTTTAGAATAGGTATGCTCATGATGCGGTTATCATTTTTTTCCTATTACAGCAAGAAGAATGCAGCCAAAAAGAAAAGTGAACTAATTTAATGAAAATACTAATGAACACAGAATCACTTTTGCAAAAAAAAATTGAAGTTACTGTCAAATGAATCTGTTCGTTGTGCACTTGCATGAATACTCTGTTTTGAAAAATAAACCAAATAATGGTGGTATTATTGTAAAGAAAATGTTTTTTTCTTTTCTGTCTCTCTCTTACCTGTATAGAGACTGGGTTTTTTTCTATGATTAAAATTCGCGGAAAATGTCAGTCTAGGGTGTGGGTGTGGGTGTAGGTGGGTGTGATCTATCAAGAGCATAATACCGACAACCACACTTACACTCACACACCCACACCCTCAAGATGCATAGACAATATAACGTTTTGATCAAAATAATCTTTATTAGCATTGAATATTGGTGAACAACAATCATATCACACGGTTTTTGACTTTAGAAAAAAAAATCGTTCATCACTATTTAAGCCACATATTGTAGAATAATCATGTCGTCAGAATTTCGTTTGAGAAGATAACCTCTGTCTATCAAGCTGTCGATACGTTTCTAAAAAGAAAGATAAATCTTTTACTTCTTTCATTGATGCAGAAGTAGCAAATATCTATTACTTGAATGAGCGAAATTTCGGGTAGAAATCTGTCTTTCAATTGATCGATGATCTCTTGAACAAGAAGTGTATGCTTTCGAGTTTGTCGATGTTTCATTATGCGAACGATTACCGCCTAATCATACATAAATATAAACTAAATAATCTTTAGATAAAAAGATTCTTACATCAACAACATGTTTTCGATCTTCATCAGTCGTGTTCAGTACACGTTTCGTAGTTTCTTTGTCAATTGTTTGCAATGGCTTATTCAAATTGATACGAGTTCTTTGACTGAAAATATCAAAACAATGGAAATGAGTCAACATAGCTTGTATCATAGTTTACTTTGTGAAATTTTCATTTAATCGGATAATATGTTCCATTTCGAAATTTGCTTTTGTAACGTCTTTCTCATTAATCTGCAAGCATCTCAACAGTTTACTTTGAATTAGAATGCAAATAATTTCGAATAGAATAGCAGTCTCAAGTTGTGTCTTATTTTGAATTTCTTCTATTGTCAACTCTAGTGAATTATTGTACAGAAGAAGAATGGTCGTCTGATAAGTCGAGACCTAAAACGTAAAGGTAAATATTGAATAGGAACGATAATTAAAATGATCGATCTTACTTGAAGTATGTACTTTTGACTAGTGAAATTAGTATGTAATTCACATCTCTCATATTGATGAAACCACGTAAGCTTTCGACCATTATGTTGATGAGTATAGAAATCAGTAAAATTTTTCACTAAGGATGTGAGCTAAGTAGGAGAAAAACGAGATCTAAACAATATCGATATCATTGTTACAATTACTTCGAGTGGTAGAGTGAATTTGATTACAGTAGTGAATGGCCATGCATGTGACGTGAGTACCAGAATCGGAAAATTGACTAAATAAATCGTGCAGAGTTTACATAAACTAGATTTTATTTGCGCATACTTGTATTTCTCAATCGGTTTTCAACACAATATTGTCGATATTGTGCACGTAAACTCTCTTGGATATCCATATCTTCAATCATTTTCTGTAATTTTGACGTGTAGAAAAAACCACATTTTACCTACGAATAGAAAACTCAGTAATTTTAAGTGTTGATGATAGACTTTATCTAACTTTGAGTTCTGTGATCATCATCTTTTCGTAATCAATCGATGCACTCCACTCATACACGAGTCGTTCAGCTAATAATCTCCAATAGAAATTTTGGAATGCATCTTTATCGTTGATGTAATTGAAAACAACCTGTGAAAACAACGGATACAAAGCGATTATAATACAAAAGATTATTTACATCATACCATAATTTCTTTCAACGGCTTTGCCATATCGGCATCGTCGATAACTTTCCTAGAAATTTTTGTATCAATAGAAAAATGATCATTCTCAACTTTTTTCTCTTCCTCAATAAGCATACCTTGTTTTTAGAACTGTATCGGAGTATCGAGCCAAAAGTTCGGCTGATTTGGTACTGGTACCACATGCTTCGGTACTGGTACCACTTGTTTCCGTAATAGCATTTTTATTTATGAATTTACTGCAAGCCTAAAAATATTCAATTATGTGAGGAATTATGACACAAAAAAGACACATACCCTGTCGAGAGCCGGAATAAAACTGCTGCGTTCGCCTCCGAAGCATTCGTGAACAATAGAGA